CCTCCGTAAGATTGGCTTCAGTTGGTGGTTGTCATGGTTGCTGCTGGGAAGAAGAGGTAGGCCAGGGAGAAGCCCATCCAGCTTGAGTAGGATATGGACAAGGTGGTGGTGAAGCCCAATATGGGTGGGCCCAGAATGGTGGTGGGTATCCGGCCCATGTAGGGTGTGTTTGATTGGACATAGGGCTTTTGCGATTATTTGACTGGGTTTGTGTTGGCCGACCAGAGGACGTATAACCGGGTCGAGAAGGAGATGCAGATACAGGCGCTCGACGATTTGTGTTCCGTTGCTGGTTAGGGCGGCCTCTGTTTCCAGATTCGCCACATCGGAAATTAGAGTTTGTTGGTGGGTTGTGTTCAACAGCAGCGACGATCTCTGTGGATGAGTGCGAATCTCGAGCACGTTGTCGCTGAGTTTCAAGTTGAAGCATGGAGCACGCGGTATCCCATGGAGGTAGGGTCTGATTGATGTAGGCGCCGACTATGTCAAATTCGGATGGCAACCCACGGATAAGTTGAAGAACCAGACGTTTCCCGTTGACAGGGCAATCGACGTCATTCAGTTGACTTGCCAGATCTTGAGACGTTGGCAATAAGCTTCAAGGGACGACATTGCTCGAAGGGTAAGGTTTGTGAACTCGTGTTCAAGAGCAGCAACACGAGATCCTTTGTTGTTGAGGAAGATATTTTGAATTTTGAACCAGGCTTCATATGCTGTGGAGTTCGGTTCAAGCACCCGCGCAAGGAGATCGTCTGAAACTGTTCCATAAATCCATTGGAGGACGATGGCATCAATCTCTGACCAGTTTTCATAGGTCGGGTCAGTCTTGGATGGAGGGTCGGAACCATCGATATGGGCAAGGACTCTGTAACCTCTAGCATGAAGTTTGAACAAGCGAACCCATGAAGAGTATGATACCTTGGTACCATCAAGGGTGCGGATCTTGTTCTGTATGTTTGTGACCGTGTAGACGGGATGGAGAGCTTTGACAGGAGTTGGGTCTTGTTTTTCTGACATCGTGAATAGAGAGGATGATCAGAAACGAAGTAAAGATGTCCCGCAGTAGCTGAGACAGTAGGGAGAGATTTTGAGGTAAGGAGCACTTGGCTCTGATACCATATAATTACAAAAGAATCGATGTCTTTCATTGATAAAGGAGGGGATTAAATACCCACTGTACAGAGTGATTACAGGAGGAAAGTGGGGAAAATCTAGGCTAAATAAGGAAGAAGTAATCTACATTAAATACACAGTAAATATAAGATCGGGAATATACAGAAGGTATATATTTTGGTTAATAATATCCTCGGGTAACTTCTCTAGCCTTGAACAACGATTAATATCAAGAGACACCAGATGTTTCAACTCACAAATGCTATCTGGAAGATGCTCGATATTTGTAAATGACAAATCTAGATCCTTTAAAGATTCTTACCCACTAAGGTCCTCTGGTAACTTGTTAAAATACCAAGAATGGTAAAGTATGAGAATGTTGAGGTGTTTCAACAAATTAATACTGTCCGGAAGATGTTTAAGCTTTGTATTTGTCAAATCTAGAACCTCTAAACATTCTAAGCGGCCAAGATCCTCAGGTAACTTCTCAAACTCATCACAATGAGCAAGGCGAAGATATTTTAAATTTTTTGGCATGGAAATGCTATCCGGAGACAAATTTAGATTCTCTAAACACCCTACCCACTGAAAAACCTCAGGTAAATTCTTAAGGGACAAACAAGCCCAAAGTTCGATAAATTTCAGATGTTCCAAATTCCAGATATCATCTGGAAGTTCTACCAAATCACGACAATCACTAAGATCCAACGTCTCGAGATTTGGGGTTAGATCAAGGTCAATGGTCTTCAATCTTGAATCCCTGAGATCAAGGAATCTAAGCTTGTCAAGAACCTAACATAAGGAGAAAAACAAGATGAATATTGCTGTCAATACAAAGCAATGAATGTGTAAGTCATAACATTACAATGAATCATGCAAAAATAATCAATCAACCATAATGTTACCTTTTTTTCTCCCCCTTCCCAAAGTTGTACGATTTCGCTTGTAGGCATCTCAAGTCTAACAAGATTATTTGCTTGAAATGTTTTGGGTAAAGACCTAAAAGGGTAAGAATCCCATTTTAGATATCGTAAAGCATCTGGAAAGCTTGGACTAAATGTATCAAGTTCAGCGTCTCTCAAATGATTTGTCGTAACCACTGAAAGATACCTAAGTGCCTTCATCTTTCCAAGACCTTTTATAAGCTTATAAGGATCGAGTTTTGTACTGTAAAATTCTATACATCTTGTTTCTTCAGTACCCTGAAAGGTGGTCACGATGAAAGTTGTGTGAAAATAGATGAAAAAGTGTTAGATTTCTCGAACATACACATAAACTTGATCCTCATCAAGTCATTAGCCAATATATGTTCAATTTCATCATTCTTCCATAACCGGCTATGTTTCTTTGGCAAATCAGGGTGAGAACGGCGAACAATATGTCTGCCCATTTCTTGGATACTGTCATGCATGTCCAAACACTCACCATAATAATCATCTTTATAAATAGTTACTAGAGAAGTAGAGATTTTTGCTGAAGAACTCTTAAACCAATTCTAGCATGAAACCCAAAGCTTTCAAGAACTTGGATTGCGAACTCTTTTATGTCACCTTTCATAATGCCTGCAACATCGAGGAATATCTCCTTGTAATCATCCTCTAGAGCGGTATAGCTTAATTCCAATATTTTTAGAGTTTCTGTTAGTGGAATTGTTTTTAATCTTGCTAAAGCATCTTCCCATTCCGGCTTATCTTCACCACACAGAAACGAACCTAAGACTGTGATTGTTAAAGGAAGACCAGCAGCATAACATACAACTTGTTCTGAAAGACCTTGGTACCCTTCAATTGGAATGTCTTTCTTAAATGCATACCTACTAAAAAGGCAAATTGCTTCCTCATCCGATAACAAATTAACATCACGAATCAGCGTCACTCTGTGTGCTAACAGTACTTTCTCATCTCTTGTTGTAATAATAATTCTACTTCCTGGCTTAAACCAATTAGGCTCTCCGGCTAACGCCTCAAGCTGGTTAATATGATTTACATCATCTAGAACAATAAGAACCTTTTTAGTAGGCATCCTCCTCTTCATCATGTTTTTCCCGTCATAAATATCTCTTATGTTGATGCCTTTATCATTTAAGACTTCCGAAAGGACTTTATTTTGCAACGAGTTCAAACCAGACAACGAAGCACTTGAAACTTCCCTAACATTCTCAACGAAGCTTTTACCTTCGAAGTGAAATGATATTTGATCAAAAACAGTTATGGCCAATGTTGTCTTCCCACCACCTCCCATCCCTTTGATCCCAATAATTCGAACATCATCAATACCGATATCTAAAGACGATACAATATCCTTTACCCGTGTCTCCATGCCCACTAATTTTTCATAAATACTGAAAGTGATGGAACATAGCTCTAGTGATAGTTGTTCAACAATTATTTGGATGAATTTAGCTTCATGCCTGTATTTTAAAGAAGATTCAATTAACTTTACTAAAACTCTCACATGTACAATTACCTTCACATCTCATGTTTAATCTTTGGAAAAGACTCGAGTTTGAGTTAGAATTTGACAACACAACATGAGATGCGATGGGTAACCCTTTTAAAACAAAATTAAGAAAGTTGCACGCATACAAAGGAATTACCTATCAGCAGTGTTCTTCAACTCTCATCCAGCCAGATCGGCTGCTTCTTTCATAGCCTCCCTCCATTTTCCAGCAGCCTCTTTATTTTTATGTTTGGCAAAGGCTTTTCTAACTGCCCCGCTCTGGTGGCGGACTTCAGTGGGTGTGACATCATAGAAGATGGGGTAAGCAGTATGCTCCATTATCTTGTGACACTCCATTATCTTCACAAGCTCATCCAAGCACCATGATGAAGATGCATAGTTCTTGGAGAAAACAATGATGTAAAATCTCGAGTCTTCAATGGATCCGATCAGCTCATCGCTGATCCTTTTTCCCTTTCTTGATTCTCTCATCATCCTTGTAAGTGTAAATGCTTTTATGCTGAAGAGCTGAATAAAGATGATCAACGAACTTTGTACGAGTGTCTTCACCTCTAAAACTTAAAAACACATCATATTTAAAGCTCTTCCGAGTGGATGAAGTTGAAGAAGAATCCATGATTGTATATATGCTTGAAGGATTCTATAAAATCAAATATTTGCTGGGGAAAACTTATGTGAAACGATTGCAAAGAAATTTGGATGAGCTGAATTAAAAGGCATAAAGTGTATATTAAAAGGTCAAAAGGTGATGGGTTTGTATGGATAAAAATATTATAAGATTCCTTATTTAAACAATTCAAAAAGAACTGTTTTAATTGTTAAAAAGCCAACGGTTGTAGCAGTGGAACGTGCTACGTTTGTCTGGATAAAAAGATTACAAGATTCCTTATTTGAACAATTCAGAAAGAACTGTTCTACTTGATGCGATTAGGGATACAACTAGTAAATAATTAAAAATTTTGGATAGCTGACTTTTGATCCTTTTTAAAAAATGGTGGTGCTGTCATAAATTATAATTTTGTACCCGTATGCATATTTTCTGTCAAAAGAGTAAACATAAAAACGTTATTTAATTCCATTTCGCATTAGATTGTCTTCACATATAATAAATATTTCACTTATTGATGTAATAACTTTCCAAAAAGAAAGTTCTAACACTGCAAAACTTGAAAAAAGAGTGACTGAAAAAATGTTAAAATAATTTCCAGGTGCCCAACCTTTCGGATGTGTTGTGGGGCCTGAGATCTCTTAGGAGAAGAGAACATGTGATGCCATGAAGAATTCAAACCAAATTAATGTATATACAGATACAGATAATGTATCACTGTGCATACTTATCATATACCTGAACTTTCTGGCAGCTTTAGTTGGGTTGAAGTGAGGGATGACCGGTACTAAACCTCACTGTGCCGCTTCAGGGAATCGAAATGTACTCTCAAACCTCCCACTGTCCGTCAAAAAGCCTTCAATTATTTCCGTTTAGAGCTGCTCTGATTTTTGATGTTTTGAGGGCAGGCGGGGGAGAAAGACCGAGATGGAGATATTGGAGGTTTTTTTATTTCTTATTTGGGAAGAAAAACAAAAACATCGATATACCAAAAAGGACCCTTTAGATTTGTTATTAAAAAAACTTCCCCAAACGATCATGAATGTTATCATTCACGTCCTTTAAAAGACAATAAAATGGTCCCTTAACTATGTTTAAACCCACATGTCTACTTGTCTAGTCATTCTATATTTTACTCTTGCATTCTCTTTTTCCATTAACTATAATTTGACAAAAGTTATCACATATTTTTCAAATTTTCTTATAAATGTCAAAAGACTGAATCCAACTCTTCTAAGAGCAATTTGATTCAGTTAGTCATCTTAATTTTCTAAATATACACTTCTTGAATTACATTTAACAAGCTTGATTAAAGTTATATTTTTTTCATTTGTTTCTTCATAAAACTCAAACACTAATTAGAGATTTTTTTTTTAGTTTACACTTCCAATGCTAAAAATTTACAAAAATGTCCTAAAATCGTGAATCTTGTATGTAAAGCGGCTAAAAACAAACTATTGAACAAATTCAATGGGCTTTATGTAACTTTAACTGTCGATGGATTAACTGTGGAGATTATTATTATTATTATTATTATTATTATTATTATTATTATTCATATATATATATATATATATATATATATATATATATATATATATATATATATTAAAGATGACCACCTTTTTTAACAATAAAGTTCCTAAGGGGTTGCCACAAATGGTCCCCTGTTTATGGGTTTCGTTTCAGTTTCGGATCCTTTTCTGTAGAGGGCATTTTATGTCATTATGTACATTCTTTCGGACACGTGTCGTTCATCGTTGGATTTGTGTCGCTGTATTTGACTATTTGATGTATGTTAGCGTTTCTGGATCCTTCTCCACAGTTTCCCTTCGTATATCGTCCTGATGAAAACGATCTGAGCCGATGTGAAACGAAACGTCCGACTGAGATCCGCTCTACCTGCTATCGATCGTTCTGATGTTGATGGTTTCCAAAGACGTAAAAACCCTCAATTTTTCGTCTACTTCAAACACCTACCTCCTGTGTGCGCCCATGCGCCCATTCACTGATCTCCAAACGCCCATTCATCACCGCCGTTCTCATCCAATTAGGTGCTAACAGAAGCGGCCCATTCTTCTGAACCTATCATTCTCCAATTACCGATTTTTTTTTTCAATCCACGATTTCCCACCGGTTTCGTCTTCGTGTCGACATCGTAGACAGCAGCAACGACGACTACTGCAACAACACTGTAAGTCTTCCAAACCTTCATAACCAAACTGCCAAACCAACCTTTGCTTGCTCTCTGTAACACTTCACTGAAGATTTTAGAGAGAGTAACATACACAAACACTTAGAAAGAGAGTCTCCTCCCTTCTTCTACCCTCTGCTCCGTCTGATGGACTGAAATCGATGGACTCATCTACTTCTGTGATATCGTACATGCCTTCGATAACCATACGTTTCCTTGATTTGATGTTTCTTTTTTCAGGTAACATGAACACCGATGGACTCATCTACTTCTCTGGTATCGTTAATTTTAGGAAACTACGGTTCGATTATGGTTTTCTTCATGATTGAGGATAAACAGGGGTTTCTATCGATTGGTTGTATCCAATACAAGTGAAGGCTGTAAGGTTGCATATTAATCTGATTTTGCTGTTGATTTCAGTTCCAATTACATGTTAATTTCATTTCAATTTTGTGTATGTAGTGGATTTCAGTACTCATGTAGACGATTGAACCCTACCATTACTGATCCTCACTCCTACTATCTTTCCGACTACCATCGCTTGAAAGCCCGTGTTCTCAATCAGGTTCTTTTTTTCTCTGATCCTCACAATTTAGTTTCCTGTGTGAAGAAATTTACAGTTTGGAATACTCATTAGCAACAGGAACCCTACATATCGACACAGGTATGACTCTTTTTTCTTGGTTACTCTCTGTGTCTAATTTGTTGTTGTTTGTGGTACATGTGGTTGGATCGACCGACAACTGAAGTATCACAAACTTGTGCATTTTCAAGGAAATTGCACTTCACCTGAACAAAAAAGTGCTTACATTCATGTGATGTATTTCATATATTCTTCTTTATTCACTTGCAGACAATCTATAAGATCGGTTTCACGTTTGGTATCTGCAATTACCCACACCTTCAAAAAGGGAAATAACCATGATGAAAGATCAAAATCTTTTCTGCAAAAGCTATCTTTTACTATATTAGTTTCTAATTATATATCAAAAATTCCAATTAAGCCTCATAAATCCCCAAAATACTCTGTACCTATCGTTCCTCTTGCTGCCAAACATGGTTGGAGCAATTCTTTCCTGGGCATCAGGTAATATTCTTGCCCCCTTTGCCCTTGGATGATTAACTTTGACTTTCCTACATTTTCCTTCTCTCAAACATGGAAATGCAAATTCTAACACCCTGTTTCTATATTTCATTGGTTTACAGGTGAGGCAGCAGTGGAATAAAATTACAAACCCACAGATTGAATTAAATCCAATGTCCCCTCATTCGTATTCCCAAGGTATGTATTTCCTTTGTTATCATGATACATGACCGTTTTACCCTTATACTCCAACAAACAGTTTGGTAAAGATATTAAGAAAGCTGGTAAATGAATTATCATACCTTAAGAACATCATGCGGTGGGTCATCTAACCTTGGGTTTATTTTATATGATAAAATTAGAATGATAGGATGGATAATTAATGATTAATGTGTGGTGTGATGTTGTAGATGGCGCCCCTGTGTTATATCTTACAAGAAGATGGACTTTGAAGAGCTCTGTGCAGCAGCCATCGGCACATACCAGTTGGAAGCACTAGGGACATGGAACCACATCGAGTCCACATCATTTGACTACTTTCAACAGGAGAGTAACTGGACCGTACCTGTCGAGGAACCTGGTCGGGTATTTATTATTATTAGTTATTAATTAGTAACTATCAATTAATAATGATGATATGCAAGTTACAGAAAGAGAACAAGTTACATGGCAGTTATTTCCATAAATTAGTTAGTATGCAAATTCGAGCACATGACAGTTTTTTCCATAAATTAGTTAGTTACGCTAACATATTGTCATTTAAGTCTAATTTATGCAAATATTTTACCAATTTTTACTCGAATTTGTTTTTACTCGAATAGCAATGTGATTCTACCGATTTGTTCCTTATATCATCATTCTTTCATTCTTAACTCCTATTACAACATTCTACTATTAACATTTAGCCTAATTATAGCAATGTAATCCAAGTATGAAATAGTTTTCCGTTATCTAATGGTTGGCATGATTTCATGTTCTTTTGTACTTTGATGATATTACACTTCCCCCACATAATTGTAAGAGGTATCAATCTGAACTGTTTTCAGCTTATATGATAGGTCCTATGAATATGCTAAATTCTTATATTCTCATTTAAACATTTTTAGGCATTTCTTGGGAATTTCAGGTCTGTGGATTCATGATTTTACATTGTATGGTTTTGTGCTGTGTATCCCTTTGATTAAGGCTGTTGGCAGCAATGGAAATTACAAAGCTATCGCAGAAGTTTGTGAGCAGCTGCAAATAGTAGAAAACCGACTCAAAGTCAAAAGGTGCCACCTTCTTTCGAGGCGACAACATTGGTCGGCTGGATATTCCTGCTGATTTCGGAGTTTATTAGGTAATAAATAGTTTTTTATTATTTTTACACGTAACATCAATGGCTTCCCCCATAATCTCACATTCCATGTTCCCGTTGGTGCACAGGTTTATTTTTTATTTTTTATTTTTTGCAGATGATGTGCCGATGAGAAGATCCTCGGTTGATTCAACAAGTGGTTTTCAAGATGATCCACAAGAAAGGTGGCATATTGAGTTCCAACCATAACCCCCCTAAGCCCCTATTGAGTTCCAACCATGTAAAGTAGAGGATTATAATTAAAAATTATTGTTTTTTATCGATAATCAATTGGAAAATAAGGCATGTGAACTACCAAAGGATAAACCCATGAAGTATATATTTTGATAAATAGCTTATCCGACAACAAAAAAAGTATCCATGACGAAACAATATTACTGCCCCATAACAATACTCAAACTATAAACAAATAGTTGATCAAATAACATTTACAAAAAACAAACAACGGAAAAAATTGTCGCATCCGACCCCCGCAACGCGGGGGCTCCCCACCTAGTTGTTGTTATTATTATTATTATTATATTTTATTTTAGTTTATTTTTTATCTTAATAGCCAAAGTGTGAAAGTGCAATCATGGACATTCTATTAAGAACATTGTGGCCAACGTGTTAAGAACATTGTGGCCAAGGTGTGTAGACTATATAATTTGAGAGAAAAAGTGATGAAAGAGATTGAGAGAAAGAGTGAATCTTCTCATTAATTCAAATGGACCTTAAGCTACACACATATACATTCAGACATAAAGAAAACAACTTAACAAACTTCATAATTAACTTCTAACTGATCAACACTACTACAAAACGTATTTAATAGTGCTATGAGTTTTTTTGGTGCGGTGGTAGCCCAAAACCGCATCATTAAAACACCAAAAGTTAGTTTCACATTAATAAGCCATAGAACCGCACTATCTAAATAATTTGTTGGTGCGTTTATACAAACACCACATTAAACAACATTTATTTGTGCATTTAGATCTAGGCCACACCATTGAAGATTGAGTTCCCTCCTCATATTTTGGTTCCCGTGCGATGCTCCTTTCAAAATTTCATTTCCCACGCGATGCCTTTCTTATCCACTACATATTTTCTTAACCTAATTTCATTTCACCACACCACCCCCAACATCGTCGACTTCTGCCACCCTCATCACCATCACCGAGTCATATCACCCCCATCCCCATCAACACTAATTTACGCTGCCACTACCTCCATCATCTTTGATTTCGGTCGACCCACTCCCATCATTGCCGATTCACGGCTTCAGGTCGACATCGTGATGAATTTTATTTCTCTTTGAGGCATCGAACTCCACTATAATCGTCTTTGTCCATCGCCATCAACCCATCTTCAAGACTCTCAGGAATGTTTATGATATTCTGATTTATAATTTTGATTCAAAAAATTTCTTAATATATGTGTTTTTATACTCTAATTTCTTATGTTAGGGTATGGAAGAAAGAATGGGTCGAGCTAAGAAGCACGTGAAGCTCAAAAGAGATCACATATGTTTGTAGAGGAGGATATAAAGGTGTATAAAACAAAAGAAAAAAGAAACAGCCTCACGTCATTTCATGGTTTAACATTGTAATGTCTATGTATGTATGTATGTATGTGTGTGTATGTATGTGTGTGTGTATGTATGTATGTATGTATATACGTATGTATGTATGTTTATGTATGTGTATGTATGTATGTGAGTGTGTATGTATACGTATGTATATATGTGTATGTGTGTGTATGTATATGTATGTGTATGTGTGTGTATGTATATGTATGTGTATGTGTGTATTTGAATGTGTATGCTTATGTGTATATTTATGAGTGTATATGTATGTGTATGTATAAGTGTATGTGTATGTGTATGTGTGTATATGTATGTATGTGTGTATGTGTATGTCTATATATTTATGTACGTATGTGTATATATATATATGTATGTGTTTATGTATGTATGTGTATGTGTATGTATGTGTTTATGTGTATGAATGTATTTATGTGTATATGTGTATGTGTATGTTTATGTGTGTATGTGTATGTGTATGTATGTGTTTATGTATATTTCCTTGTATTTAAATGTAGCTTGTTAGTGAAAGTGTAAGCATTAAAATATTAAATAATGTAAAGAGTAATGGATCCCGAATACGTACACGACTTTATGATTGATATTAATAGCTATAAGTCGGTGAAAATGTAGATAATAATGTATAATAGAGGTGTGAAAAAAACGAAGCGGAAAAAACGACATTCGGCGCCCGAAAATACGAAAATAAGGAAAAATCTAAGGTCAATCCATAGACGGAATTCTAACGGAAGGCCTTTTCCGTAGGTATTCCATAGGTAATTACCTACGGAATACCGTCGGAAAAGGCCTTCCGTCAGAATTCCATCACCAATCCGTAGATAATTACCTACGGATTAGCTACATATTTTACTTATTTTCGTATTTTTCGGACGCCGAACATCGTTTTTTTCACATCTCTATTATACATTATTATCTACACTTTCACCAATTTATAGCTATTAATATCGTTCATAAGGTCGCGTGCACCATCGGGATCCATTACTCGTTTCATTGTTTAACATTCACATATACACACGTACATTTATTCGTTTTTTTTTCACACATATACTATACATGATTATCTATACTTTCCCAAACTTATACATAATATCTACACGTGTATAGCGGTATGCACCTTTTTCTAAGTTATTCCTTTCACATACATTCACACATACACGCATATATATACATACATATACACATATATTCACACATAACCATAGACACATAAATACACATACATACACACATTTACAGATACACATACATTCACATACACATACAAATACATTCACACATACCCATAGATACATACATATACATACATACATACATATACATTCATACATACACTTACACACACACACACACACACACACATATATATATATATATATATATATACACACACACATACACATACATTCACATATACCTAATATATACGTGTGTATACACACAGTACACATACATTCACACTTACACATACATATTCATATACATATACTTACATATACACTTTCAGTTATACACATACATTCATATACATATACACATACATATACATATAGAAACACATACTCACGTTAGAACCGGCTCAAGGAATTTGCCCCAGGAGCAGGATCCAACACCGACTTCTTCAAGATGATCTTCAAATAGAAACAATATGAAAAATCAAATTTATGATCTTTTGAAAGCTGCATAAATATTTGTACTAAAAAGAACTCACCAAATTTTGTGCGACAATACGAGTGCGACGTCGACAAGTTTTGTACGATAGTGAGACCGAGGATGACCGTTGAGCGGATGAGGAGCGGCCGATGAGTGAATGAATCGTGAATTCGTGATGGTTCTTCCTTCAAAGTTCAGTCCTTCTCTTTCGTTTGTGAATGTGTAGACTGGAGGCTGGAAAGAGATGCGTTTTTTTTTATTAGGCACGCAGTGGCTGCACAAGGAGTCAAGGATGGATGAACCACATACATACGACTATACGACTGATGATACAAATACCAAAATAAAATTTAAGATACGATAAATAATAGTATAATACGTTCTTAGATTGTTAAAAATTAAAATAAATAGATAATTAAATATACTAGGCGGGTTGGTGGGTTGACACGCGAATCCAGACAGGTAACCCAACCCAACCCATTAAATAAACAGGTTACCGGGTCAGAAATCTCAACCCTAACCTGCTTATTTTTGTGTCGGGTTACGGGGTTGGGTCGAGAGTTTCCACCCCTAATAATAGTAAAAGAGCATGTTAGTTTGGATATGGCATGCCCGATCAGATGGTAAGTTGTTAAGCATATTCACGTAAGACTCGAATTCAAATGTAACGTCTGAGATTTATCAGGTATTATTTTTTATTCTAGTTTTAATTATGAAATGTTGGTATTTTTGGGGCGGAGCGTACGCTAGGCATACAGGGTGTACGCACGGCGTACACATATGAGGTGCGGAATGGGGAACCCGCATGCGTACGTTGGGCGTACCCATGTGTACGCTGGACGTAGGATGATCAGATGCAAACCCTAAATTTTAGGGTTTGCACCCTATTTAAACAACTTATATTCCTCCAAACCCATATCCTCTCATCCTCCCTTGTTCTCTAAGTGCCCAACTCGAACCCTAACTCCATTGCATGTATCTTGAGCTTACTTTGAGCATTTTGGTGTTGTTTTGGTGGTTTTGAAGAGCAAGGATTTTGAAGAAGGAGCAAGGACTTGAAGAGAGCTTGTAGATCCAAGAGATTAGCATCTTTTCTGACTCATATGAGGTATCAAGCTTCAAGCTTGACCATTGCATGCTTAGTTGTAGTTTTGGGGTGTTTTATGTGATATTTTGACTCTATAGTTGAGATTTCTTGTGTTCTGGTAGTTTCAGCCATAAGAGCTGTCCTTTTGAGCTATTAGAAGCTTTTAGAGTCATAAAAATCGGGCCTTGATGGTTAAGCCACAACCATGCAAGTGTTAGATGCTCACAAAGTGTGTTTAAGGACTTATATCATGTCTTAACCCCCATCCATGCTTGCAAAGACATAAAGTCTGTAACTTTGTAGTTTAGGATGTCTTAAAGGACCTGGATCTATGTTTTGGACGTTAGGACTTAATGGATTAAGTCACAAAAGGAGTTCTAAGGAAACTAGCCAGTACGCTGGGCGTACCCCTGGTACGTTGCACGTACTAGGTCAATTTCCCGCTTCTGGTCAAGGCCAGCGTACGTCGGGCGTACGTGCCAGGTACGCGGCGAGTACGCATATAGAGTGATTAATGTAGTTTTTGGGCCTTGGGTGATTAGGCCTTGATTTGTTGGGTCTCATGGCCCACTATGGAGTAAGGCCTCTGGGCCTAGGACTGAGATTTATGGTAATGGGCCTTTTTGGGCCTTATTGGGCTTTAAAGCTTAAAGTAATGGACTTGGGCCTTAAATTGAGTATGGATTGGACCTTGGGGGAAAAGGCCTATTAGGGCAAGGACTAGGGACCTTGCCTTGGGACATGAATTAGAAGTTGGGCCATAAGAGAGTCATACTTGGACCCAATAACTAACTAGGGGACTTGTTATGCTTTAGGGAGAGGAGTCCCGAGCCATCCGAGGAGTACGATTTCGACATACACGGTTGAGGTGAGTTACCTTCCTGTATGAGTGGGTCGAAGGCATCAATGTCGACCCACTAGTAGTTGTTTGTAGTAGAGATGATTGTCTTTGTGATAATTGCCCGATATGTCACCATCTGTTATGTTTTATGTGC